TGGCTGGGTTTGCCGTTCGGTCCTCTGCAGCTGAGCAAGGAACTGATGTCGAGGTGGGTGGTCCTTTGCCTTTCAGCCCTAGGGGAGGGGACCCCGGCTCCGCCCTGCTCTGCGGGGCCACGGTGCAGAGGCTGCTCCCTCGGCCCTTGAAACGTGTGTTGTGGCAGGAAATGAAGAGGAAGAAGGCCACAATGTTAGAGCCTAAGCCAGTAATGGGATGTGTGGTGATGGGGACAGGAGAGAAAATTACAAGTTGGGGAGGGAGGCGCTGCTGGCGTGTGTCACTGCTGCTCGGAGAAATTGCGTATTTCCGTGATCTGTGAAAACCAACCCCATCATTACCCGCTGGTTTTACTGCCCAAGAAAAATCAAGGTGAACGTGTATAAAGTAAAGCCTGTTGAGGGTGTCTTTAGGGGGTAGACGTTCTCTGGGACATTTTGTTGTTGACCTTGACCATGAACTGCAATGGGGGTGTGGGGAAGGTGGGAGGGACAGTCCAACAACCTTTCCTGATTCCTGGTGTCCGAGTACTGTTTGACCTGTGTTGCTGTCACCTGTCCTCTCGATGTGGATGCCGATACGGGGGCTGGGCCAGGAGGCCGGCATGCACGGTGTGTGCGGCAGGCAAGGGCCAGGCGACCCCGGCAGGATGGGGAGCTGGCCTCGGCCATCCCGGTGTTTGTCGCGGTGGCTCTGGCGAAGAGTGACTGGGGCCCTCCAAGGGGGGCCTGTGGTCGAGCCCTTGCGTTCCAGCTGCTGGGGCTCCCGTTTGCCAGGAGAGCGCGTGTGTCTTCTGGGACCTGCTCGGGACCGCGTCTTCCTCCAAGTTGTTTTTCCCCCACGGGATATTGCAAGTTTTAGCTGCAAGTCTGAGTGGCGATACCTGGGATCCTGTGTGCCTTGTGTCCCCAGAACCCAGACACACAGCCTCCCGTAAGTGACCCCTCCCTGTCTGGGTCTCCTTTCCCATGGTGCCCACGGTGCTCCTGTTTGACACTTTAGAAAAGTCTGTTATCTAGTCTGCTGCTCTAGGGCATAGACCACTTTGAAAAAAATCTTTTATTTCCCAAGGTCGAGGTACACAGGAAGTCCGTAAAATCTCATAACTCCTGAAAATATGCTCAATTGAACCAGCCCCTACCTGGGCAGTCACTTCTCCCTTGACCTTGTCTTTCCCCTGATGTTGAAGGAAAAGGCACTAATTACACGGGTAGGTAATGTTTTGTGTATTTTCTACGTGCTGACCATTATCTTTTTTTAATTTTTTTTTTTTGAGCAAGATGAGAACATGAGTGGGGGAAGGGATGCTGAGCATTTTCCAAGCACCGAATTTACATAATGACCTTACCAAGCCCTTACTACATTTGTATGAGCTAGTGACCATTGAAATTCCATCTTGTAGATAAGGGAGTTGGTATTGATGGAGGGTGGGTAACTTGCCCAGAGTGCCCCAGCTGCAGAGTGGGATTTGGAGCTCAGAAGCGGCTCAGGGCCCCAATGTACGGTGTGTCCACGCAAGTTCGTCACCCATAACAAATGCCCCACTGTGATTGGGATGGCGACTGTGGGGGAGGCTGTGATTGTGTGGGGGCTCAGGGTGTGTGGAAGGTCTCTGTACTTTCCAGTTGGTTGTGAACCTGAAATTGCTTTAAAAGTCTACTGAAGGAAAACATTTCACCTCTTGCAGCCTCCTGACAACTCCTTGCAAACAAGTGTCTTCTTCCTTTGTCTGTGTAAGAAAGCCTCACCCCCAGTGGGAAGGCAGCTTTGTAGGAAGATTCAGGATTCAAGCAGTTGTTGGAGTAAAAGAATGATTTCCATATGTGTCCACAGTCCATAGCTGCTGGCCACCTAGGCTGGGCTTCTTGAAGAGAAAGACCGAATAGATATTATCCTGTTCTTAATAAGTATTTGTTTTTTCTTTTCATGGCTGTGACCTCATGGAACAAATAACTGGGTTATGTTTATGTGTGGCTTTTTTTCTTTCTTGAGATTTTTCAGGTCAATTTTTTTTTAACATGATTTCTTCTGAGTTACAAATGCACCTGCTGCAGTGTGTAAGAGGCAGTGCCTCAATTGAGTGCCTGCCTGTCTCCTTGCTCCTCTGACCCTTCTAGCACGCCAGGGAGTTGGGAAGGTGGGTGCTGTTTTTGTTTCTTAGATGGGAGGGAAAGGCTCAGTGGGACTGAGATACTGGTATGAGGCTGGGAGCCAGGAGCCTAGACCCTTGGTCAAGTTCAGAAGGCAGAGGTCCTATAGACTCCGTTTCATGACAGGCATATGTGAATGTCTATCGTTCTCCATTAAGAGATTCTCCTTTAAAGATCTGCCTTCCTCAGCTAAGTTGGGAGCCTGGCTGTCTTCTTGGGAAGGTGTCTTGAGCCTGGTAGGTGTCCAGTAGGTGTTGACTGTGGGATGGATGGATGGATGAATATGTGAGTTCTGGGCTGTTGTATCTCCAGGCAGAGCACGGCCAAGGCAGGCACACACTCCTCCCCTTCATCTGCTTCGTGTGCTGGCTCTTGTCTCCCAGGGGCCGCCGGGCAGCTCGGCTCGCCCCCGTGGTCTCCTCAGGCCTGGGATCTCTGCCTAACCTTCCTTCCGTCTTCTAAGCCCTGCCCCCCACCCTTGCTCTTTCTCCTCTTTAGTAGCCTCTTTTCTGCAAGTGCTTTTTCTGCCTATTACTTTTTTCTATTAAAATTTTCAAACATTGAGAGCCAGGGTGAAAACCAAGTCCCATGATTTCAAGGGGATGCTTTCCTAAAGATGCACAGCACTGACAGAAGGTAGGAGGGTCAGGGAGGAGGCCCAGGTCCTAGGAAAAAAAAATTGGCAGAAAACCCAAAGCAAAGAAGTGGGTCTGTTTTGGTCACTTGTTACCTTCAGCACCAAGAAGAGTGCTTGTACTTTGGAGGGGCCCAATGAGTACGCGTTGACCCAGTGATTGTTTTGGGTCTTCCTCTCTGACACCTTGGTGACCCAGGACAGGGACACCTCAGACCTCGCTCCTCACTAGCCCCTCAGAGGGCCCACCTTGTCCCAGTACGGTGCACAGGTTTTGGGCTGTGAGAAGCTTGGTGGGGGAGCTGGTACGAAGGGGGCGGCTCTGGGTTTAGAGACGGGATGGTCTGTTGTTGGTTCTGCCCCATCTGAATGGAGCGGCCTCTAGTGTGGAGGCTGGAGGTTGAGGAGCAGCCCCCGTAATTCCTTTCCTTCCTTCTCTTGCCCTGAGACTGGGCTGTGGAACATCCTCTTCCCTCTTGCAGCCCGAGGACAGTGTTGGTCCCCTGCCCCCTTTCTTGCCTCAGGGTCTTTGGTGAGCGGCTTTCTCCTGGGCATTCTGTGCGGGAGGGGCCGAGAGGACCCACGTGCTGGTCTTTGCCCTGCCTTCTCTCTCCTCTCCTGCATTTGCTTCATACCCCAGTAGACGGGATGGTGATGTGCATTTCTTAGATGTGCATAAAGGATTAAATGAGATAGTCCTCAACTAGAGCTTGAGAAGCCTAAGGATTTAAGTTTTAACTAAAAGGAAGAAACCAAAAATCCTATCTTTCCAAAAGAGGATTTGAAGTAGCACCTTAAAATAGGCTTCGCAAAGTGCGACAGACTGTGAGTACTTTGGCCCGAGGTGGAAATAAAGGTTGGAGAAGATGGGCAGGAGGGTTAGGGCGTGCTGTGGTAGCACTCACCACATGGCTAATTTTGGCTGTGAGCTTCCTAACCGCCAGTCTCAAGAGGGAAACCGTTCACAGAGTTTGTTAAGGGTTGAAAAACAAAACAAGGGGCACCTGGGTGGCTTAGTCGGTCAAGCATCTGACTTTGGCTTAGGTCATGATCTCGCGGTTCGTGGGTTCCGGCCCCGCGTCGGGCTCTGTGCTGACTGCCAGCTCAGAGCCTGGAGCCTGTTTCAGTCTGTGATTCCCTCCCTCTCTGACCCTCCCCTGCTCATGCTGTCTCTCTCTCTCCTAGAAATAAATAAAACATTAAAAAAAAAAAAAACAAAAAACAAAACAAATCCAGAAGGTCTGGGTCTTGAGATCTGAGTGATAGGAAAACGATGTATTTAATATGTGGATGGATTGTGACAACAGTGGAGTTTGATGCACATAGGAAACTTGGCTGCTGGTCTAAAAGCATGCTTTTCTAGCCATGCTTTCCCAAGTTGAAGGTGTCCAGAAGAGCAGCCCCTATAAATAAATATGGACCGTGCACTGGAGAGTCAAACCCTCTACACTGTTGCCTGTAGACAAACTATAGAGGTCTGTGTAGGAAAAAACCAGATCTCTTCATACACTTGGGTGAGTATTTCTAAGTCTGCGTGGAGCCAAATGTTGCTCAGTCGGCCCTTTCTCCTCTTGATAAACAGCTGTAACTGGGGAGAGACCCTTGTTCAGAGAAGATGTTGTCCAGTAGCAGGGACTTGGAAAAGCGTCTAAGAGCTGGAAGGCCGGGGCACCTGGGTGGCTCAGTCGGTTAAGCGGCTGACTTGGGCTCAGGTCATCATCTTGCGGTCTGTGGGTTTGAGCCCTGTGTCGGGCTCTGTGCTGACAGCTCAGAGCCTGGAGCCTGCTTCAGATTCTGTGTCTCCCTCTCTCTCTGCTCCTCCCCTGCTCATACTCTGCCTCTCTCTGTTTCAAAAATAAATAAACGTTAAAAAAAAAAAAAAAAGCT